ATTCTATGAATCATTTTAATTTTTAAAACTTTTAAATTATTGTAATCTATAAAATAAACTAGATTCCCAAGAAACTGCTAACTACTGTTTAGCTTCTTAATTTCAGTTGGGTTTGTTCTGAACTGAAAAGGCCTTAATCTCTCAATTGAAGGAATTCACTAGCCCTCTCTTAGAAGCTGTATATCTCTTAAGTACAGGTATGCTAATTTTTACACCACACACAGTGTTCTAACACTTTATAATCATAATATTGTTTTTATTTAATCATAAGATTCTCACTCTGTTTTTGTCCTTTATATAAATTTCAGACAGCTTGGCATTCAGTGGTTATTGATAGCCATGCAGGCATTTTTTCAGCAGAAAATTGGTTGTCTCTTGCTCTTTTAAAAGATGCAGTAGGAGAGAAAATGGTTCATATGTGTGAAGTGCCCTTTACTTCTATTTAGGATAGTAGTGAGATAGTGTAAAGGAATAGTCAGAAGAAAAGAGACAGAAAACTTAAGACCTGAGTTTGTCAATACAACAAGAGATGAAAAAGAAAACTTTGTGCTTTGTGTTAATCACTGAGAATAGATTTGCATTGCGTTTATAAATAAACTGTTGCAGATCTTCCTAAATATGTCATCTGAACATACCAGCAAAGATTTATTTATCTTTTCCCATATTGCACAACACCAACATCTTAGGACAATTTATTTTTTCCCAAGTTGTTATGGTTAAAATATATGGTTAGAGGGCTCATTGGTATAGAGCTTGCCTCAAATGTGTGAGACACTGGGTTCAATTTTGAGCATCGCATATTAATAAACAAAAAAGTCCATTGACAACTAAAATATATATATATACACACATATATATTATATATAGTTGTAGCTTAACTATAGCAGATATAAATAGAATTTAACCAAGGAAGTTTCTTAACCCACAGGAGCATCAGATACTGTGAATCTTGCAATTTGATGAAAGTTTTTTTCTTTCTTGTTTTGCTCTAGAAGTGATATTCAGACACGTATTCAGAGGCACTCATGATCAATTCTGTTAACTCAGAAAGCTTCTGACAGGGATTATCCTTGTAATAAGCTAGAGAAGATAAACTAAAATTTGCCTATATTAAAATTAAAAAACTAGCTCAAATTTTAATTTGATACAGTTTTTTAACTATGTTTTACTTTTTTTAATATTTGTTTTTTAGTTGTAGGTGGACACAATAATCTTTATTTTTTTTTAAAGATGAATTTTTTATTTATTTTTTTTAATATTTATTTTTTAGTTTTCAGTGGACACAGCATCTTTATTTTTATTTTTATGTGGTACTGAGGATCAAACCCAGCACCCCACACATGCCAGGCGAGCGCACCACCGCTTGAGCCACATCCCCAGCCCCTTTATTTTGTTTTAATATGGTGCGGAGAATTGGACCCAGAGCCTCCTGTGCTAGGCAAGTGCTCTAGCCCTGAGCCACAACCCCAGCCCCTTGATACATTTTTTTATACAGACCAATTTATGTAGCTGTTGAAGAAAAATATTTGAGCAATAGGAAAGTAGCAGAATTTAGATTTTCCCCACCTACCTGCTTTACATAAAAATGATTTCCTAATGGCTAAGAAGTCTAATTGGCTTAATGTGTTAATTGGTCTCTTGTTTATTTAATACTTCCAGTGTGTGGAGCAGAAACCGATATCTGAGTTTAAGCTAATCCTATTATTGAATGACTTTTCATGTCAGTGCTTCAAAAGATAGCACTGATTGTGTTCTATTGCATTTGACAGTAGCATAAAAAAATAGGAGCATGTAAATATTATTTATAAATGTATCAATATAACTTATAAATTTTATATTATTTTTGAATAGATTTTATTTTTTAGAACAGTTTTAGGTTCTGACCATGTATCCACCATTATAATATACACAGTAATTTCACTACCCTGGAAATCCACTGTACTCTGCCTCTTCACCCCTCCTTTCCTGTGACCCCCAGCAACCACTAATATTTACCATCTGCAAAGTTTTGACTTGTCCAAAATGTCATGTAGTTAGAATTATACAATATGTAACTTTCAGATTGACTTCCTTCACTTACTAACATGCATTTTAAGATAACTTTCATGCCTCTTAATGGCTTGATAGCTCATTTCTTTTTCTTTTTTAAATTTGTATGTTTAGATGTTGATGGACCTTTATTTTATTCATTTATTTATATGTGGTGCTGAGAATTGAACCCAGTGCCTCATACATGCTAGGCAGTGTTCTACCACTAAGCCACAACCCTAGCCCCATTTTCTTTTTAGTGCCAAATAATATTCTGTTGCCATGATGCACCATAGTTCATTCACTTTCTGGAGGACATCTTTGTTGCTTTCAAGATTTGGGCATTATGATAATTAAAGCTTCTGTAAACACCTGTGTGCAGGATTTGGGATAAATTTTCAACACATTTGGGTAAATACTTAGAAACATGATTACTGGGTCATATGGTTAAGAGTATGTTAAATTCTGTGAGAAACTGCCAAACTGTCTTCCAAAGCGGCTCTACCATTTTGCATTCCCACAAGTGTTAAGTCGGAATTCCTATTGTTTCACATCCTCACCAGCATTTTGTATTGTCAGTGTTTTGAATTTTGTCCATTCTAATAAATGTATAGTGGTATCTTATTTTAATTTGCAATTCCCTATTAACAAAGAATGTTGACCATTTTTCCTTAAATTTATTTGCCATCTGTATGTCTTCTTTTTTGAGGTGTCCAAAGAACTCCTGTTTCGTATTTTTGTTGAAGTATATGGGGTTTTTGTTTTGTTTTGTTTTTGTTGCTTGTTTTGGTTTTTTAGTTTTAGATATCTTTTGCTGCAACTATTTCTCTTCCAGTCTGTGGCTTGTCTTATTCTCTTAAATATGCCTTTTTTTTTTGTCTTAAAAATGTTTTCAGCTTTGAAGATATCTTCTAAACTTTTTTTATGTGTGCAGATTGATTATAATATCATAAAGAATTTGGCCATTTAGAAGTTCATATTTGTATTTCAAATACCAAAAACATTGTTCCACATCAGTTTTTCCTCATCAAACTTTAAATTTACTCTTTGGCAATGTGAAGTGGAACTTTCAAATTTGGCTTGGCAAATTTTTTTTCTCTGAAGCACCATTCATGCACAAGGATGAGGGAATGGCAAATGCTTTCTAGTGGTTTTTATGAAATCAGTTACTTGACAGTTCAAAGTATTTTAAATTACTTTATAGAGCTGTGTTGTACTCCTCAAAAACACATAGGGTTTGGTAATTTGCCTGGTAATGACTTTTATTTCTCTAAAACTGAATTCTAGAAACAGTGATAGTAGTTAAAGCTTTCTTTCAAGCTTGCTTTTAAAAAGAAAATGTAGTCATCACATTTTATAACTGTTTATTTGCATTAAGGATGGGGAAATAAGATGATTTAGTCAAAGGAATATATCTATAATAGTACAAGAACTGAGTTTTATCTTATCCCTCTCCACTGTGAAAATAATTGGGTTTACAGATAGTATTTCCAGACCTTGGTTATTATGTTAATTTACTGGCTCCTTTCACTGAAAGGGATCAGATTTCTGGCTAACAAGCTCACTGTCTACCCTATCCACTGTTTCTCTGTTCCACATAGTAAATACTAAGCTCAAAATGAGGGGAGACCGTATAGAGTATGAAATAGAAAGAGAAGCAGTTAGAAAGCTATCAAAATTTAGGTGAACAGAAAATAAATCTTTTAAATTAATTGAGTCTTTGCTTTTTGCCCTGGATGCTTTAGCTTTTTAATGAAAAATAGCATATGGATTCTGGTGTTTAATAACAATCCAGAGAGAATTAATGTTGGATTGATATAAATTATTTCTCCTTTAAAAGACATTAAATAAAGGAATATGTAGGATGATAATTTATGTTTTTTTTTAGATATTTTCCAGAGTAATAAAAAGCTTAAAAATAATCCTTTATAAACAAAAGTTTACTTATGTTTTTTTTTTTCAATTGGTGATTAATGCTACAGTATATTATGGCCTATTGCTGGAAATTACAAGTAAGTACTGGTGTTAGAGTACTGTGTGCTGTTTCACACAAAAAATAGAAAAATTGTTTACTTCTAGTTCTTTATAAATTTTACTACTGCTTATAAACTAGTTTATAAGTAGAAGTTATTAGAAATTGAGCTGTTTGGAAAGTTACACTTAGCATTTTTTAAAAATCTGATAAATGAATAAATAGAAATAAATTTGAATTTACTGATGTGATTATATTGTATGATTTTTCCAAAGCAGAGTAAAACAGGATGCAACAGCCACCTGTGTTTGTATTAGTAATTGAGAATGTACCTGTATTTATTATTTATTAAGGATTTTTATATTTTTTGAAAATAAATACATAATTGGTTTTTGCTATAGATATTTTTTTCATAGCTTTATTGAGGTAAAATTGAAGTACAATAAAATGAACATATTTGAAGTACGCTGTAGATATTTTAAAGGTGATGATACATTTTCATTGTAACAGAACAAAATAGTATGCAAAAGGTTGCCCATACTTTGGAAGGAGTTACGGGATTGTGTAAGTATAACTAAGTGGCAGGCCCATAGATGGCTGTTATTTCCCCAAATCCAAAACTTGAAATTTAACTGCTTTATATTGATGGGATCAGATTTACTAATTTACTACATTAGAGTTCTCCCCTCCCTCTTATAATATGGAATCTAATTGTATTGTAAGACATTTTCAGGTCTGCATCTGTAAAAATGCTCTTTCCTTTACCACGTTTGCTTTCATTTTATGAAGAGGGCTATTTTTTAAATGTGCTCTACATAAGCATATGATGGTATATTCTTTTTTTTCTAATTTGTTATATATAACAGCAGAATGCATTTCAATTTATATTACACATATGATGGTATATTCTTAATGAAATCCAATGCTAGGAACAGCCTTAAGAATAAAATAGATTTCTCAGATAATTCATTAGTTTATCTGAAATGCTTTATGTTCACAGGAGGAACAGGCAGCAAAATTGAAAGCGGAGAAGATCAGAATCGCCCTAGAGAAAATTAAGGAGGCACAAGTGAAAAAGGTGATATGCAGGCTTTTGCCTGATTTCTGATTTTATCAGTTGTATGGATTTATGAAGAACTGCCTTATTTACATCATTTTCCTCTAATGTATGGAGTGGTAGGGGGGGTATTTCTTCTAGTAATACATTTTTCACATGTAAATTTTTTGTGGGTAAGATGTATTATATAGGAATAACTTTCATTCTGAATTCTAAAAGAATAAAATGGAAAGGTCTCTTAATATTCTTCAATATTGTTATCTTAAAAGACTTTTTAAAAAATATTTTTTAGTTGTCAATGGACTTTATTTTGTTTATTTATATGCAGTGCTGAGAACTGAACGTAGTGCCTCATACATCCTAGGCAAAAACCCTACCACTGAGCCACAATCCTACCCCTTAAAAGACTTTTAATATTGATATTTAGTTTTTAGCTTATCTTTTGATAAATCCATTATTTCCATTTTAATTTACAAAGATATTAAGCAGACTACTAGTTGATATTACAATAAATCCTTTTCTAAAACACCATTATTTGGTCTTCATTTAATTTTATTTTTACCTATTACAGCTGGTGATTAGAGTCCACATGTCTGATGACAGTTCGAAAACAATGATGGTAGATGAGCGGCAGACAGTGAGACAAGTGCTGGATAACCTGATGGACAAATCCCACTGTGGTTATAGTTTAGACTGGTCTCTGGTAGAGACCATTTCTGAGTTACAAATGGGTTAGTAATATCATCGCTTTAATTGCTTTTTAATTTCTGTGCAATCACAATGGTTTTCATGGTGATAGAAGCATTTTAAGACATCTTTATATTTTTTTCTATAAACAGGCAGTTTACCTTTTATAATTTGGCTTTTTTTACATTACTTTTTTTTCTCAGCTATTTTGAGAGGTCTTTGAATACTAAGCAATTTGCAGTTTACTTCAGTTTTAAAATGGTTAAAAACAAAGTTTTTTTTTTTTAAGATGACAAAATACATTTTCCTTCAAATAAAAACTGCATACATCAATGCATTTACTAAGACATATTTATTTTCATTTGTAATTAAATCTTACCACCATTTAACTTTCAGGGCAAACAAAACATGAACAGATTTCGAAGAATCAATATCTAGAACATGTTCTTTAACATATGTTCAATATATATAAACATTCTTTGATACCTAATTTGGAAGTTAGAAAATGTATTTATGTTTAAAATTAAGTACTATTCATGAACCAAAGAAGAAATCGTATTGGAAATTCTTTGAATGTAAAGAATTAAATACTGTTGGCAGCACTTGATATTAAATTTTATAGAATGCAGATAATGTGTTTATTTTTTAAGGATGGGATGGATAAAAGCTAAAGGCTAAAGAATGATGTACAAATCAGAATACCTAGATTCTAGTCCTAATTCTTACCTGTCAATTGTGACTTTGTTAAGTCACTTCACATCACTAGGCCATGTTTCCTTTTACAAAAAATGAGGGAAGACAGATATTTTATCTGTAAGGGACAAGGATGTAGTGTTTATTAAGATTCTATAATTTTTTGTTTTGTTTTTTAAAATATTTTTTAGTTGTTGATGTACCTTTATTTTTTATTTATTTATATGTGGCACTGAGGATTGAACCTGGTACCTCACACATGCAAGGCAAGTGCTCTGCCACTTAGCCACAACCCCAGCCCGAGATTCTGTAGTTCTCAATGTGAATTCTTCACAAGGTTTCATGTCTTGTAATTCTGGTGAATACTAACAAAATATTGATACTTTATTTTGGGTTAGAGAGAATATTTGAAGACCATGAAAACTTGGTTGAAAATCTTCTTAATTGGACAAGAGATAGCCAAAACAAGCTTATATTTATGGAGCGTATAGAAAAATATGCACTTTTCAAAAACCCACAGGTAAGACTGAATGAATAATTACAAAGGTCAGGGTTTTTTAAATATATGCCCTATTTAATTCTGATACTGCTAAGTTAATAGAGTTTAAAAGACTGGCAGCCACTTGATTAGAGCAAAGCAGCTGCAAAACCCTATGAGAGCATTCATTAGTACTCTTGAGGTGTAAAGTTAGCTGAGCTCACTTCAGGGCCCACTGTGAAGTTCCCAGTCCCACAGAGCCAGATGGGATACACCCTTGGTGAAACAGAAGTAGCTCTAGGGAGTTACCAGGCTTCCCTGTATTCCAGAGCTGTTTTGAACCCAGCAATTTCTTCAGTGAATTTTACATCTATCTTGTCAAAGGAAAAAAATAATCTATCTTAAGCCATTATCCAGTTGATACTTATTTGGACTTATTTTTAAATTTTTTTTTTTTAAAGCCCAGTGAGTGGTCTCTGATTTTAAATGGCTCCACACTCCAGTATATGTTATCTTGATTTACTTGGCATCTTTCCTCATTCCAAAATAAATAATGTTTCCCAATACCTAGACGGTTTGTGAAAATCAATAGACTAGGAAAAATACCTCCACCAAAAACAAAGTAGAAATGAGAAAAAACAGCAGCAGTGTTAAAGGAATTGAATAGTTACCCTTCAGGCTTAATCATGACATAGCTTCTTGATATTTTAGTGAAGGTTACATACATATTTGAGGGTGCCAGCAGATGTTGTCTGATAAAAATAATTATGCTAATGATTACAGTTCAGATTTTTGTTGAACCAAGCAAATGAAATATGGTCTCATAGGATTTGGGATTTCTTCTTAAAAATCTACAACAATCAAATTTTCTGCATCTGGATCTGTTAAACAGCATATTTTAAGGAAATTTGCTTTACTTGTACTTAATAATTTATAAACCTTTCAGGTACTTTGAATGTAGCTTTCATTAGTTATCCCAGAACATATTTGTCAGCTGTTGCATGTAATATCACCTCAGGACTTGGAGAAGGCAGTTTGGGGAATGATTCACAGCAAGTGTTCAGGCAGGAAGCTGGGGCTAAGCATTTTAGTGATGATACCCATATACATATGGGGAGTTTTTGAAGCATTCCTCTAACTGTGCACTGGCAAAAATAGATCTAGAGTTAGTTGCTATTTCTCTTGAACAAATCATATACTCATCTCTACCAAGGGAATAGTAGAATGAGTTTATCCTTTAATTTTCATTTTATTGTTTTTCCAGAATTATCTCCTAGGGAAAAAGGAAACAGCTGAAATGGCAGATAGAAACAAAGAAGTGCTGTTGGAGGTATGACTCCCTGCCCCCGTTTTTCCTACACATTATTAAATTAAAATATTAAGCACCTTTTGGAACCTAGTATATTGGTCCTCCATATTCATAGTTGAGAAACCTGTATTCTTTGATAGCATGAGGGAGAGAATTCATCTGTGTGAACGTTAGGTCATTAAAGAGAACCTTTTAAAAACGAGTAATATTCTAGTGGATTAAAAGGAGTAACAAATTTTTAGGGTTTGTCAAGTTCGGAGGACAAAGCTGATCAATGAAAGATGTGGTTGTGCTATTTTTACCTCCTTTTTTTAGAGAGAAATTTGAATATAACTAGCAGTTCACAGAATATGTCAAACCTTAGCCATAAGTAACTCAAACAAATTCTTAAATTATAACGATCATTTTTGGAAAATCTTACAGAGAAATAAATTTAAATCTACCCAAATTTTTGGCCCTTTGGCTTTTTCTGATTTTAAAGAACTAAAATCAAAGAAGTTAGTAAGTTGAAAACCTGAATAAACTCTTACCAACAAGGCAATTAGGAAAATGAAGATCAGCACTCAATTTTTCCTAGTGATACTAGCTACACTTAAGAAAAAAATTTTATAATTTCTAGTTTCTCTATACTTTGAGGAGAAATTAATTAGAATATCCTATGTTATTGTTTAATTAGGATTTTTTTTCTTTTACAAATACATGGTTGTTTTTAATATTAGATTTTTTTATTTAAGCATGGACAATGGAATTCAGAATTTTGAGTTTATTATTTTCAACCTAGTATTAAATATTTTATTATAAATAAATGCCCTCTTAGACCATATAAATTGGTACAGTTTTAAAATTTTTATTAATTATTCACTTGGCATGTTACTTTCTTTTTAACTTTATTATTCTTTAGCTTGAGAGCTAATCTGTTGTGATGTTAATTTGGAGAAGAAGTTTAATATTTATGTTAGCTTGACATTTTTATTAAACTTAGTGTAATTATGCTCTTTAGATTTCATTTAACTACTGTTATACAACTCAGTTGATATTTCAAGCTAGTTTCTCCTCAAAACGTTGGATAAAAGTTTGTTAAAAAAAATCAGTATTTTATTTATGACTGATTTTTTTTACTTATTAAATATTTAGGGATTTCTTTAGTTGTTCAAAAATAATTCATACTGTATTTAGAGAATTTTCTAATTCTAATTCAGGTAAAATCAGCAGCATGATTTTAATACAGAACCATCTTGGCTTAATTACAGTGTCATGCATCTCACTGGAGTAGACACATCTTTTTTCCTTGATAAGTCAAGGATCATAAGTCTTTCCAAATCATCTTCTTATTTTAGGAATGTTTTTGTGGAAGTTCTGTAACTGTACCGGAAATTGAAGGAGTGCTTTGGTTGAAAGATGATGGCAAGAAGTCCTGGAAAAAACGTTATTTTCTGTTGAGAGCATCTGGTATCTACTATGTCCCTAAAGGAAAAGCAAAGGTGTGTGCTTTTTGTAGACTTGTTCCCCTCATTATGCTGATCACTCTTAATCTGTGCTGTGTAGGAAACACAGATCGATTTATTAATCTAAAGAGGAGGAAACCTGAGAATTTTCACTTCTTTGATTATTAATTTGGCACATCTTAATTTTCTTACCAAATTTGAAATCATAGTTTTGTTTATTATTTGTGGAACTCCTGCTGGAGTAGTTTTGTTGGGGGGAGAATAATTTTATGGAATTACAACCATTTCAATCTTAAGTAGTGGGCTTTTTGCTATTAGTACCGTTGGTATAGCTTTTGTCTTCTGTGCTCATTGGGGTTTAGGACTGTTTTAAGCACTTTACGGTATCATCTAGTTTTAAACCAATCTTATGAGTATATTGTGACCCTTATTTAACTGATAAGAAAACCCCCAGTTGAGAATTTCTGTGTTTGAGATATGCATTATAGGCACTGAACTACTTGATCCAGAAAGCTCTCTTGTATTATATTGATTGTAATATACCATGCTTTATTTAAATTATCTTTAAAATGTCAATAACTCAGTGTTCATTATGAATGGCAAGACAATAAGCAAAAATGGCCTGCCTTTTTGGTTACATTGCCAATCAAAGAACCATTTATAGAGCGTCTCATTCTCTTGTCTTCTATAAAGTAGCTGTAATTTCTATTTAATGTCTTAATTCTCAACTAAAAACTGTTATGAGATGTGATATATGCTTGCATCCACATTGTTGTCAATTTAATCTTTTGGGTATTTTTATCTAGGTCTCTCGGGATCTGATGTGTTTTCTCCAGCTGGATCATGTCAATGTTTATTATGGCCAGGATTATCGGAACAAATACAAAGCACCTACAGACTATTGTCTGGTGCTAAAGGTAAGTATGTTCTCTTTATAGGAATTTTAATTGATTAGACAGGTTTATTGGGCATTTTAGAATACTTTGAATCTCTATTAAGTAAACCATTTTTGCTCTGTTCAGTAGGTTTAATACATCATTATAGTAATTTTAATTGATGTTAGACACAGATTAAGGGCCATTGTAGAATAATTTGGATCTCCATCAAGTATACTATTTTTGCTTTACTCTTATAGGCTTAAAAAGGAATGGTAAGGCTGGGGATGTAGCTCAGTGGTAGAATACTTGCTGGCATGTATAGTCCTTAGGTTCCATCCCCTGCACTGCAAATTAAAAAAGGAATGGAGAAGGGTGGTAAGGGAAAAAAGAATGTTATGCTATAGCTGATCCTTAGCCAATTAACTCTTACTGTATTAGTGGAAATGGGAGTAGATGCTAATTTTATAATAAACTTTGAGCCGTAACACATAAAATATATTTGATTATAAATACTGGACTTATTTTTTTAGACATTTTAGCCAAATGTGGGACCTGTTTTGTGTTTTAATTAGTTTTCCTGTACTTAACTCAGAAGAACATCAGAGGGCACTGTGGCCAAGTTCAAAATCTATTGACTATCTGGTCTAGAAATAATTTTTGGGTTTTTTTCCCCCCAAACTAAAGCCATAATAGCCTGTGCTATCCACACTATTTGGGGGAGTTTTTTACTCCTTTAATTGGGCTTTTGAGCTTCTTACACTGATTGTGTCTGTACTTTTGAGAAGAACAGACATTTTTAGTCTTTTTCATGATCTAGAACATTGATAAAGGTACCACACAAAAACTCAGGGAACTCTGAGAATAATTAAGTTCTAATTGGCTCCATCTTAGCAACCCTTTATTAACTTCTTAGGTCTACATGCTTACATCACACTTGATTTCTCGTTTCTCTTGGAATTGTCCATTTGGTTTTAAGAGTAGTATTTATAAGAATTTTAAGTTAGAGTTTTGATTGCTTTGATAAAATTACTTATGTTGTAATGGCAACCTTTTATTAAGTAATATTTTTCTCAGAGAACACCACTGTATCATCCAGGTTACTTTCAGGAGCAAACAAATTTTTTTCTTTTGGTTGTTATTTTGTTTTTCAGTACTGAAATTAGAACCCAGAGCCTTGCTTGTGCTTGCTATCCAAGTGCTGTGCCACTGAGTGATATTCCCAGTCCTTTCTTAAGTTTTATTTTGAGATGGAGTCTCACTAAATTTCCCAGGCTAGCCTCAAACTTGAAAACCTGCCTTAGCGTCCCAAGTAGTGGGGTTATAGGCACTACCATCTCACCTGGCTAGGAGCAAATAATTCTTGAAAATTCAGTACAAAGTAAATTCATTCAGCAGTTTTCCAAATGAGGTGCAAGGTCCCCTGGGAGTCCCTAAGACCATAATATTAACGTTATGTTTATAATAATACTAGGATGTTATTTGCCTCTCACAAATGTATAGTAGGATATTTTGAGAGGTTATATAACATACAACAGTATTTTTGCTTTCTTGGCTACTGTAATGTGTATTTATATAATCTTAATTTTTTTTTCTCAGTTTTAATTGCTAATAAGGTAAATATTGAAGGGCGGAAAAACTCTACCTCCATTTTCTTAATAAGTTAAGCACGATAACAAGTTTTATGTGGCACAGAAGCTCTCATATAGCAGTCAAGACCCAAAGAAGCAGTTAGAATTAGTTGCTTATATGCTGGATTGGACAAAGAAAAGTAAATTGTGAAAAGCAACTAAATTATATAAGGAAGTTTAAAAGAGAAGAGCTGTTTTAACAAGGTCTGTATAAAATCCTCTCAGTTTTGACTTCTCATGCTTGAAGATATTTTTTCTCTGTAGCATAGGGAGGGTGTCTTTTGCACTGGAATTCCATCTTCTGTTTATAAAAAGCAGCATGAAGCTCAAAGTGATCTTTTTGTATCTGCTGTTTTCCATGTTAACTTAAATGGTATGTCAGAGTGGTATATTTTTGCCTTCTTCATTCAGTAAACAACCCATATACAAAGGTATTCAGGGTGTCTCAAAATGTGAATATAATAAGCTGTGTTTCAGTGGTTTACACCTGTTAAAAAGAACCCAGTTTTTTCCATCTTTCCCTGATCTGTCTTCTGCATGTCATCTTAATTGCCAGGCTGGCTCACTTCAGGGTATCAAGATGACTGCTGCCGTTCTAGGCATCAGATGTAGGCCCAGCAAAATCTAGCTAAAGAGGATCTTTTTCTCCCTTTACTCATCTTTTAAAAGGAAGTCATTATTTCCCAGAAACTAGCCAAGAGCCCTACCTTTGTAGATTTTTGAACAAAAGCACATCTCCCATTCTTAAACCAGTCACTGACTAGGGAAACAAAACCATTGGGGTGATTGATCCCTTATTGTTTAGAATTCATACCCTGTGGGACACTGGTGAGGGGTGGGGCTCTGCCAGGTAAGAAGTAGAGAAGAGATAGCTAAAGGGAAGGCAATTGACAATGTCTCATGAGTAAAATTAATTATGACCAGTAACTTGAACAAGTTGAACACCCCTAATCTGAAAATCCAAGACCTGAAATGCACGGAAACCCAAAACCTTTTAAGTGCCAACATAACATTCAGAAAGTTTCAGATTTTGGAAGGGCTTGGGATAAAACTCAGAGGTCGGGCATTCACAAGGCCATGGGTTGACTCCTTCCTGACATTCCCCCAAAATCAAGTTTCAGATTTTAGAACATTTCAGATTTTTGGATTAAGGATGTTCAAGCCGTAAAGTCTCTGGATATACTCCAGAATTTTCAAAACTTTGAAATCTGAAGCATTTCTGGCCTTAGGCATTTTGCATACTGGATACTCAACCTGAATTACAATCCTTTTACAGCTCATAAAATTCTTTGTCTATTTTTGTGCTAAGGGTTTTTCTTATATTTATTTTTATAACAATGATTTGAATGTTCCAGATTGACATTGAGTAGTTTAAGCTAAATTTATATTTTCTCTTTACATATAAAAATATTTAGTGTGTTGAAATGGAAGAGCACGGTGGAAATAACATTAAAAGTAATTACCACCACTTTATTGTAGACCTCTAAATTGATAAACCTGTGATAGAAGCTCCATACACTCAATCACAAGTCTATTCTGAGTCCCCATGTTGTAAATACAGAAACTGAGGTTTAGAGAGATCCATTTGCCCACGGCCACACAATTATTAGGATTTAAAAACCTCTTGTTGTTGCTGTTGTTTTCTTTGTAAAGTCTATACTAATTTTGCCTATGTAAATACTTTTATTCTTGAGTATATAAGTTCTAACAAATGAAAAATGTTATAGCACAGGGTCTACACAAATGCAAATTTATTCAGACTGTATGACTTGAGTCTCAGTGCTCCAATGAAAGGCTCCTAGGATATGAGAAATCCACACACACTAGTAAAGGCTATAAAACACATTTTGGTAATTTTTTAAAAAAAAATAATGGTAGAAAACACTTATTCATGAAATTTGACAATGTAGAAACAAATAGGACACATGTTGATGTATCTGAAAGATACACATTTGCTGGGACACGAGTATGCATGTATAATTAAATAAGTTTCCTAAAGGAAATCTGTTTTTTAAAAATTACATACCAGTTATTATCTGGCTCACCGTAGCCACATCTAAAATTTCATCCCTAAAGAAATAAAGTAGGGCTGGGGCTTTGGCTCAGTGATAGAGTGCTTATATAACACATGTGAGGCACTGTGTTTGATCCTCAGCACCACATAAAAAATAAATAAATAAAGGGCTGGGGCTGGGGCTCAGCGGTAGAGTGCTTGCCTAGCATGTGTGAGGCACCGGGTTTGATCCTCAGCACCACATAAATAAAGATATAAAATAAATAAATAAAGTCATTGTGTTCATTTACAAGGAAAGGGGGAAAGAAAAGAACAAAAGAAATAAAGCAGCCAAGTACAGTGGCACACACCTATAATCTCAGTGGCTTGGGAGACTGAGGCAGGAGGATCGTGAGTTCAAAAGCCAGCCTGAGCAATGGCAAGGCACTAAGCAACTCACTGAGACCCTATCTCTAAATAAAGTACAAAAATAGGGCTGGGGATGTGGCTCCATGGTTGAGTGCTCCTGAGTTCAAGCCCTGATACCAAAAAACAAAAAGAAAGAAAGAAGGCAAAGTAATTTATTTCAGTATGGTAGAAAGGAAAGAGTAGTTTCTCATTTAGAGGTGAAATGTGAGCGTGAATTCCTCAAATACTGTTAGAAATAAAGAAGCTATCTATAGTATGGAAATGATAGGGTAAAGTGTTATATAATTTCCCACCTCTTTTTGGTACCCGGGGGTGCTTAGCCACTGATCCACATCCAGCTATTTTTATTTTTTATCTTGAGACAGGGTCTTGCTAAGTTGCTGAGGCTGGCTTCCCACTTTGATTCTCTTGCCTCAGTCTCCTGAGTTGCTGGGATTACAGGCATATGCCATGATTCCCAGCATAGTCTTATTTTTTTTAACGTATATGCCAGTTGAATGGATTTTCAAGACTGTATGTATGAGTTCCAAAGTAATAGGAGTATACATTGTCATTTTTCTTTGGTTCTTGGACTGTAGTGTTAAATACCACTTTTAGTTAGAGTTGTAGGAATTATCCATCAACATTTTTATATGAACAGAGAATATAATCTTATAGTATAATAGTAATTCAGAATTTATTTGTTAAATGTTTTATTTTCAAAAGTTTTTGTTTCATCAGTGAATGAAAACTTTACAAATGAACACCATTTTTTAGAAAATGAAATGATGACCTTTCTTTGTTACTGCTATTCAGCTGGAAGCGATTTCTTTGGGGTCTTTAAGAATCTAAATATTGACTTTTGGGTTTTAGCAATGATTTTCTCCTCTATATTTGCTCTTAGCTTTTGTTTGAATTTAAAAGTGGCAGAATAATATTGTAGGGGAATAGGAATTGGAAGGCTTTACCCCTAATAATGCAATAGTGTGACAAATAGAGCCTGGGCACTAGAATGAGATGGATTGGGTTCAAATTCCACTTCTTTCACCTTGGAAGCAACTTTAAGTGCTATCCTTAACCCTCTGTGCCTTATCTTTCTTCTGGGAACATGATATAATGTTATTAAGATAGTTTTCCTAAGGATTGAATGAGCTTATTAAACTATGTGAAGTATTTCACATAATTTCTGATACATAGTAAGTGCACAATAGATACCACATTTAATAAAAACAAGAATATATTAGTGGAACAGGCAAGCTCTTGAGGTATTACTGGAGAGAGTGGATAACTAAGGACAGCTATGAATGCCTTTTTATGTGGGAAGGTGACGTTTTGAGATTCTAAAATGAATTTTAAACTAGCAGGTAATCTGATGCTTTACTTAGAAATAAATAGTTAAATAATTATACCATACTACTCTTCAGGATATTCATAAATTCCCAGGTTAGAGATAAGGTGAGAAGGGTAGAGATTAATTTCTCTTTGATTTTACCTAATGTTAATTTTTTAAAAAGGAAACTCTTTATATAGAGAATGAATGGAATCACATAGTTGAGTGAATACCATGCAACCCATGGATATTCATAGTTGTAAATCACCACAGAAGGGGAATGAAGGTAAATGCTGAGAGCCAGCCTGTAGTAGCTGGTTCAGTTCTCTGAATCACACTTGATAGGCAGCACCTACAAGAAGCAGAATAGTCTCTTGTAGCCCTACTGCTTGGCAACACTAAGAAAAATGTTTTTCATTCAACTTATTTTCTATTCTGCACATGCTATGATTCTTAGTGTCAAGGACCTTTCTATTTTGCTCATCACTGTATCTAAAAAAAATGTAGTTGTCATCTGGCAAATAGTTACTGCTTAATAAATATTTTTTGAATGATTAAATTAAGTAAAATTCCCCTTCCTCCTTTTATAGAAAAATAGCTACTTCTCTATCTCTTCTTCTTTGCTCTTTCAAGATTGCTATGGCAGTTTATTAGAATATGATTTAGTGTGGAAAAGGAACTTTTCCAAGAAGGGACCTACAAAGTCAGGGAAGAAAATAATAGATATTGTTTTATTACCTTTAGTATTATTTAGGGTTTATTATTTAAAACTTTGATGTAGTCTTCAACAAAGTTGGTTGGGTAGTAAATGCTAATGATAGGAGCTGAGTTCTACAAAGCATTTACATAGAGTAAGTGGATTTTGCATTGATTTCTCACACTGTCGATCACATTGATTAATCTTTAACAATGCAGATTTATAAGTTGTATTGGTGACCATCTATTCCGGTAGTGTGAGAACATACTCAAATTGCTTATTTTATCATTGGTTTCCACATCAAATAAATGTGGTTGGGGAGTTTTGGAAAAACTAAATAAATAGTTTTAAACTTCCTTAGGTAACATATAGCCTTTCCCGCGCCCTCCCTCCCCCCAGAATGTCTAAAAGCAGCAGTAGTAATCATACATTAAATCCACCCCCAGTGTGATTTAGGGCTTTTCTTCCTAAGAAACTAGTGGTAGAGGCGCAGTGGAGTTAAAATAGTTAATGTCAGTTAATGACATGTGCATGCTATAGCCAAGGTCAAGTCATTCATGTCCCCCATCCATGCCTCAACTGACAAGTAGAAAGGGTTGTGGAAACTGATGATGCCACTGAGAAGCTGTTCATTCTGCTGGAGGGGCACACTGCATTCCTGCAGTCTTGTAGAGGGAGGAGTCTACAAAGCAGTGCTCTTTTATCTCCACCTCAGCCACAGGTATGGTCAAGTGTTATGCTGTATGCATTATGTATCAGGTCCACATATTCACCTCCAGAGAAGCATTGGAAGCTGGAAGCCTTTTTAAAGATCTCTCCTTTGGATTCTTCTGAAGCCATGATATCAGTGTGTTCAAAGTGAAATCAAACATTCTCTTCCCTTTTCTTAGTCTTAAGATCAAGAATCCTGTTCACTTAATCTTGATGGTTTACCTCCATGGACTTTGTTTCTTTGAAATGTAGAAAAAAATAATTGGAAATTTCCTATGATGTGAAGGTTTACTTTAACTTGGGCATCTTGATCTAAATTTTCACACAAGTTTCAGCTTGTAACAATACATAAGGGCTATTTATTTGTCCCTGTGGCCACATGAGAAGTATATTCTCATGGCCTATAATAGGATAAGTTTTAGCTTTGCTAGATTTTGGTTTCCTTCAGTTCTTTTCTTTTTTAGTTGTAGATGGACACAATATCTTTATTTATTTATTTTTATGTAGTGTTGAGGATCGAATCCAGTGCCTCATACATGCAAGGCATGTGCTCTACCACTGAGTTACAATCCCAGCCTGGTTTTCTTGAGTTCTGTAAAAGACTTTGTTGTATTTTTTTCCTTCAATCTTGCAGCACCCACAAATCCAGAAGAAATCTCAGTACATCAAATACCTTTGTTGTGATGATGTGAGGACTCTACACCAGTGGGTCAACGGGATCCGCATTGCAAAGGTATATTTCCTTTTGGTTTGATGATGGAATAATGAAGCATTTCATGATGTGCTTTTTATTGTCATGACAGTTATTCTGATTGTTTCATGTTGATTTTGCCAGCATCTAGTTTCCTCAGGTCTAAAGTTTGATGCTTTAAGTGTTGCCTTTTAACTTGGTTATTGGGATGAACTTTTAGCAGTTGACATCCATGAAATAGTACTGCTGATGGTAAAAGCTTAGGTAGCATCAAAGTGACTTGTTTTGGCTTTGGAGAACATATTATACGATTCTTATGCAAGCAGAGTTTAGCAAACTGAATTAAGTAATGATCATTTACTATCCAGATATGGAGCACATTTCTGAATAGTGCTGAGGATCTGACCCTAGATCAAGAACTTGGGAACATTCATGATAAAGGAAACTGGGAATAAAAAGAACTTAATATCATAAAGTCTACAGCAAGCCTAAAACCAACATCATAGTCAGTGGGGAAAACTGAAAGCATTTTCTTTAAAATCCAGAACAAGACAAGGGTGTTCATTCTCACCACTCCTATTCAATATAATACTAGAAATTTAGCCAGTGCAAGTGGGCAAGAAAAGGAAATAAAAGGGATAAGAATAAGAAAGCAAGAAGTCCAATTACCACTGTTTGCAAATTATATCATCCTACACTTGGAAGATCCAGAAAGCTCCACCAGAAGACTGCTAAAGCTAATAAACATATTTAGCAAAGTAGCAGGTTATAAAATCAACATAAACCAAAAATGAACTTGCTAAAAAGAAATCAGGAAAACAGTCCCATTTACATTAGCCTAAAAAAAGATGAAATACCTAGGAATAAATCTAACCAATCAGGTGAAATACCTCTACCTACTATAGAATATTGAAGAAATAAATTGAAAAAGACACAAGAAGATGGAAATGCTTCCCATATTCATGGATAGGCAGAATTAATATTGCTTAAATGACCATTTTACCAAAAACAATATTCAGATTCCATGCAATCCCCATTAAATACCACTGACATTCTTCACAGAACTAGAAAAGACAGTCCTAAAAGTCATTTGGAAAAACAAATGACCAAGGAATAGCCAAAAACAATTCTAAGCCAAAAAAGCAATGCTATAAGCATCACAATACCTGTCTTCAAATTATACTACAAATTATAACAAAAACTGCATGGTATTGGATAAAAACAGACACATAAACCAGTGGAACAGAATAGAAGACACAAAGACAAACCCATACAGATATAGTAAAAAACATATATTGGAGGGTGTGGAAGGTGCATGTAGGCAGGAAAGATGGTAGAATGAGATGGGCATCGTTACCCTAGGTACATGTATGACTGCATATATGGTGTGATGCTACATTGTGTAAAACCACTGAAATGAAAAGTTGTGCTGTATCTGTGTACAATGAATCAAAATGCATTCTGCTGTCATATATACCTAATTAAATAAATTTTAAAAGAACATACTTTGGAGAAAAGACTGCCTTTTAAACAGTGGTGCTGGGAAAACTGGATATCCATATGTAGAAAGAGGATACTAGATCCTTATCTTCATTTTGCACAAAAATCAAACAAATGGATCAGAGACCTAGAAATTAAACCAGAAACTATGACCTCTAAAGCTCGTTAGAATAATAATGAGTTAATTAATGGCATCAAATTAAAAAGCTTTTGTGAAGAGAGAATGGGAGAAAACCTTTGCTAGCTACTCTTCTGACAATATCAAAAATATATAAAGAACTCAAAAAACTTAACCTTCAAACCAAATAATCCAATTAATAAATGGGCAGTTGAACTAAACAGACATTTCTCAAAAGAAGAAATACAAATGACCAACAAATATATGAAAAAAAATTCAATACTGGGGAATAATACTGTCCCAATTATATTGTTATATTGTGTGCACACATGCATACTAATAATGAATCTCACTATTATGTACAATTATGCACCAATAAATGTGGAATAAAATAATTGGGGGTGAAAAAATATTTATATCTATAGTAAACATAACCTGTATCCACTGTTGATATCTTGCTGGCCTTCTACAAATGAGAAAAAATAAGAATAAGTTATTATTTGCTAATATTAAGACAATGGAAGCTGGATGTGGTAGCACACACCTGTAATCCCAGCATCTCGGGAGGCTGAGACAGGAGGATCCCAAGTTCAAAGCCAGCCTCAGCAAAATCGAGGTGCTAAGCAATTAAGTGAGACCCTGTCTCTAAATAAAATACAAAATAGGGCTGAGGATGAGGCTCAATAGTCAAGTTCCCCTGAGTTCAATCTCTGGTACTCAAAAAAAAAAAGAAAAAGACTATGGAGTATTTTATATATTAAAACAAACTATGAATCAATAAAATGTGCTTCCCTTTCCTCCCTCATCCTGTTATTCCTTGCCTCATAAAATTCAGATGTCATAATTTACTGTCTTCTGTTTAGTATGGGAAGCAGCTCTACATGAACTATCAAGAAGCTTTGAAGAGGACTGAATCAGCTTATGATTGGACTTCCTTATCCAGTTCCAGCATTAAATCAGGATCCAGTTCTTCTAGCATCCCAGGTAGTTCAGAATGCCTGAAGGCACTATCTTTACTACTAGTATGAAGTCTTTATATTGAAACTGATAGTAGACCTGGTAACTTGAACTTTATTCTTAAAAACCAGAGCCACTCCTAATTTCCAAATTATAATCCATAGAGACTTTTTTTTTTTAAATGTACAGGGGGCAATATCACAGACTAGTTCACAAATGTATTTGAAATGGACAGTCAGTATATAGATTTCTAAAGCCAAGAGTTTTATTATTTATGTTTATGAAAGTTTATTCAAAACTTACATGCTACTGAAATGTATGCAATAAAGTTGCTTTGAGGAGTCTTTACTCAGAATTCATGAGGAAGCTGTCTTCCTTCCACACAAGTTTTCTTCCATTTCAGTGGAATGGAAACACCTGGAACTAGTTCTGAATTATAGTTAAGGAAACCATTTAAGTCATCAAACTTACCAGGACTTTCATAGGACATCAGTGATCCTCAAAGGGGGCTTTCAGACTCCCACATTCTTGAAGCAAGTATGCTGTGTTCCATCTTAAGATAATGCTACTGCACTTTCAGATGTTCCCAGAATGATGTTCATGTCACCTAAAGGCAGATTTTTTCATTGTTCATTGATTTTAAAACTGTATGACTTGATTTCATCTTTAAATAACTAAAAACAAATTTAGAATGTGTTTTTACACAGGTTGTTGTGTCTATGTATGTATGTATGTACATATCCTACATAGACAGAACTAGGATAGGTACATACATAGTGTCTACTGAGAGAACCTAGAAGCAGTGGAGACCTCAGTAATAAAGAGAATACCCAAAACCTAGACCTTGTTTTCAAATACCATCACTGAGAAAAAATGGAACCAGGGCTTTTGGACAAACAGTCAATCCTAGGGTTATATCAGAGCATATACAAGGTGAAGCTAGAGCATCTTGTAAGGCCTGAAAGTAAAAAGTACTCAAACATGATGAGAGTATGTCAGAGAGGCTCAGGAGCCAACCTGAAACTCCAGTAGCCAAAGCTGAAACAATTTGAACAGTATAATATGCAATGTAGTATAGGATATAACCCAAATTACAGAACAAATAAATATTCATGAGTCCATACTAATATAAATAATTTATTGAATAAATAAACAAGGAAGAACAGGCTAGAGGGAGCCTTGCATTCAGGGATGATAAATAAGGCTAAACAAGTGTATTTTTTAAATCATACTGCTTACAATTGTACCTTATGGATAGCATCTTATTTTATTTTTCACTTTTTATTGGTGGGTAGCATTTTCTGGGGGTGGGGAGGGTACCAGGGATTGAACTCAGGGGACTACTGAGCCACATCCCAGCCCTATTTTATAGTTCTTATTTAGCAACATGGTCTAATTGATTTGCTTAGTGCCTCACTTTCACTGAGGGTAACTTCATCCAGAGGAGTTTGGGTTTTAGGGATTGAACCCAGGGGCATTTTGCCACTGAGTCACATTTTCAGCCCTTTAAATTTTTATTTTGAAAGAGGATCTTGCTGAGTTGCCTAGGGTCTTGCCCGGTTGTTGAGCCTGATTATTCAGCCCAGATATCAGTTAGAGACACACTGTTTTCACAGCCGGTTCCCACTAGGCTCTGTTCCTCACTCCCAGACCTGGAGGCCAGGCCCCAGCATGGCTGCTTCCCATTAGAACCAATACCTCTAGTATTGTTCATTACTAGCAAAAAGGAAGTGATTATCAAATATAGGTCGGAATTCATAGGTTGTAACTCCACGATGGCCTGAAAATGATGGAGTGTTTGGGAGTTACTTGTTTGGGAGTTGATTTCATGCAAGACAGAGTGTTAGGATAACCCGTAATGTTATATGACTCTTATTACCTGTCTCCCATGGTGGACTATTTAAAAAGCATTGAGATTTCCTATTAACCATAGGATAAGGAAAATTTTCTAATGGGAAATACTGTGTTTATAATGAATGAGTGAAATTTTTATTGTTCTACATAGCAGTTGACTTTGGATAAAAGATCTAAATGTAAATATTCATGCTTCAGAATACTGACTGGTTTAATTTTACTTCTTAAAACTATTTAAAACAGAGTCTCAGTCAAATCACTCTAATCAGTCTGATAGTGGAGTTTCTGATACTCAGCCAGCTGGACACGTTCGTTCCCAGAGCATAGTGAGCTCCATCTTCTCTGAAGCCTGGAAACGAGGTACTCAGTTGGAAGAATCCAGCAAGGTAACACATGAGTTTTAATTTACAAAAAAATATGGTATACTATGGGTTTAAATTATGATCTTAATTCATTTATTAGGAATCTTATTTGGCACTATTTCAGTCTTTTTTCTTAGATATCCAGTCTTCATTGTAAGGGGAGAAACCATTTCAGAAAACCTGTGATTTACTTTTCCTTGGAAATTGGGTCTAATAACCTAAAATCTGAAAACAAGGGAAAAAAATTTGGCAGTTTATTAATTCCTTTATTAGTGACTCAAAATTATAAGATAAAGCAATTTCCTCCTTTCTACCTTTAACCAATTGAATGGAGCAAGACCATGCAGTAAAGAGTAGATGCTTACAGTTATTTCTTTATTCATTATTTATTTTATCCAGGCTCATTTATCTTTCCTTTTCTTTTATGGCCTTTGGCATTTCTGTGGGCATTGATGAATTTTTTCAAATTGTGCTTTACATGGGAGACTAAATTCAAATCAATCAGTCTCCTTTTAAAATTTTGTATTCCTGAACTTTGCATGCTAGATGTTTCAGTGACACTGAAGAATGAGTATAATTATTGCAAGTCTCTAATACTTATAAAAATAGTGAGGTTCTTGAGCTCAGTTGAAAGACACTGTAGTCCTCCATCAAGTAGCCTCTGTAGACAAGGACATGTGTGGCTGGAGTTGCAGTTTCAGTATGAAGAATGTGCTCCAATTTTGAAGGACATGGCATCCGTGACTGGACTACTTCATTTTTACCCAGTAATCATTTTTATTTTTTATTGTTTGGGTCTGAGTCACTTACATAAGTACATTCACAAATAAGAATTAAACGAACATTTAAATTTATTCTTTATTAGAACAAATTTGTTCCTGAATTTGCATATGTTGTCCAGCGTGGTGGTGAAGCATTTTCCTTCAGAAATGCATATTTGAGAATTGGTTCTAATGACCTAAATTCTCAAAACACTTGACAGTTTAACTCCCTTATCAGACACTTTTAAGTAATCCTCTCCCCCTTCCCCCCTTAATAATTTGGATACTCTAAACACATACTAGGAAGCTGGTTTACATAATTAAGATGTCAGCAGAAAAATCCCTTGCCTTACCCAATAATTAGTGGTAAGATCCATGTGCATTTTAAGTTATAACTACCTAATTGTTTCATTTATGACCAAAGAAACCAGAGGTTCAAGTGCTCTGTAATTACAAAGTCCATCGTTGCACAGTAGAGCTTCAGAAAGAGATGACCCTGCTGTGCAGTAGTTTCAGTTTGTTTTGAGTCTTGATGCTTCTCTGAGTTTCTTCTCCTGTTACCTCAGTCTCAGGTGCCACATGAGAAGGCCAGCACAGCTAAGGTCTGCGACCCCTGAAGCAGCCAAGACAGGGTCAAGTTAAGGTCAGGGGCTATTCTCTGGAAGCACATTAACCTGAGTGTCTCCTATAACCAGATCTTACAAACTAATGCTTTCATTTTGATGTATAATTTTTAAAGAAACATGTGAGTGTTCTGATTGGCATTAGAACTCAGCCCTATAATGAGCCTTCTAGTCCACTAACCTTACCCATTCTTGATGCCAGTTAGATGTCATTCATAATTGAAAACAAAGGATTTATTCCTTTTCATCAGCTTGTTCAGAGAGCCTAAAGGATGTACCCAAAGTTATTACACCAAGGGTCCTTCCTTTCCTCTTTTCAAAAGTATTTGAACCAGTCATGTGTGATTATCTCCATGAAATAACTGACCCAGTACAGGCATTTCAGCAATGCCAAGAGCCACCCAGGTGACCTGATTGATAGGTTATTGGTAGTTTCTAGCTCCTGTTTCTTGATTCATTTCTTTCACTCTAGCATTCCCAAGTTCCCTCTCATTATCTTTGTGATATTTTTATGATCTTTTGTTTTAATGTTTACAAAGCATTTCTTTATGTATTTTCCAGTAAAACAAATGTAAAGAATGCCCCCCTTTACCTGCATTGCTGGACTTCTGTGCATGTTGGATGCAAGTGTCTCACATGCACACAAGTGTGTGTGGAGCGCATTCCTTCCTGTGTGACTGTGCACGCCTGCTGAGCATTCTCATACTCTCACGGGTCAGCTTACTAGCATCAGAAAGCCATCCTCATTCCTCTGGAGGCCCTCCATCAGCATCCCCAGCCCAGTTATGGCATCTGCTTGATGTGGGTGCAGTCATGGACTGAAAGGTGAATTTGAGCCATCACAACCCCTTGCCAGGGTCAGGGAGGAGCCAGTGCAGAGAGGCTTCCCAGACAGTTCCCACTGAGGGCAGGGTGTGTGCAAGTCACACAGCCAAGGTCTGAAATCACACATCCTGTCACCTGCCAAGTGGCTTTTGCAGCAGGAAATCTTTCCTAGACTGGAAGCTCTAGCTGTTTGAAGAATACTTCTGGGGGAAACAGATTTTCTCTGTCCTTGCTGCCAGGGTGTCAGATTTTAGTCTTCCTGACATTGTCCATATAATCACCAACTGCTGCATCCTTTTCATGCATGTCCCAGATTCCTTGCTTTTTAGGTTTACACAATCAAAGCTTACCTCTGTAACTGTTGTGTGTGTTGTTTTTCTCTCTCCCACCTCCCTTTTTATACTCCTTTTAGGCCAGAATGGAATCTGTGAATCGGCCTTACACTTCACTTATGCCCCCTTTATCCCCACAAACCAAAATAGTCACTCCCTACACTGCTTCACAGCCTTCACCTCCTCTGCCTCCTCCCCCTCCTCCACCCCCTCCTCCACCCCCACCTCCTCCTCCACCCCCTCCTCCACTCCCTAGCCAGTCTGCCCCATCTGCAGGCTCCTCTGCCACAATGTTTGTCAAGTACAGCACAATCACCAGGCTGCAGAATGCAGCTCAGCATTCAGGGCCCCTGTTTAAGCCCCCACTGCCCCCCGTGGTGCAGTCTCTGCCCTTAGCCTCACAGTCAGTCAAGCCTCAGATCCTGGTGCCCCCAAGTGGAGTTGTTCCACCACCCCCGCCCCCTCCTCCACCCCCGACCCCTGGTTCAGCTATGGCCCAGCTAAAGCCAGCACCATGTGCCCCATCCCTTCCACAGTTCAACCCCCCTCCTCCTCCACTGAAGATTCATCAAGTTCAACATGTTACTCAGGTGGCTCCTCCCACACCCCCACCAGCTCCTCCCATCCCTGCAGTCCTGCCTCCTCAAGCGCCCCCTAAGCCCATCGTGACCATCCCCGCACCAGCCAGCACCAAGACTGTGCCCCCAGTTATGACACAAGCTGCACCACCTACCCCTGCTCCTCCAATTCCTCCAGCAAAAAAGCAGGCAGTGTTCCCTATTTCTCACGTTCTGCCCTCTGTGTCTGCTCCCATCCCAGCTCCAACTCCAGCTCCAGTCCCCCCACCCACACTGCCCAAGCAGCAGAGCTTCTGTGCAAAGCCCCCTCCCCCACCACTGTCTCCAGTGCCCTCCATGGTGAAGCAGATGGCCAGCCAGTTCCCACCCCCTCCAACACCTCCCCCTGTGGAATCTCAGCCCTTAAAGCCTATTCCAGCAAATCTCACTCCACAGTCCCCTCCTGCTGTGAAAGCAAAACCCAAGTGGCAGCCCAGCTCCATCCCTGCTCCTTCTCCTGATTTTCCTCCTCCCCCTCCTGAAAGCAGCCTGGTGTTTCCTCCACCACCTCCACCCCCCCCCACCACCACCACCTCCACCAGCCCCGGCCCCAGCCCCACCACCAGTGCCACCCACAGCTTCTCCTACCCCTGACAAAGGTGGATCTCCAGGCAAAAAGCCCAGTAAGATGTCCAGCCCTGGGGGAAAGAAACCACCCCCTACCCCACAGCGCAACTCCAGCATTAAATCCAGCACTTGTGCAGAGCACCCTGAGCCTAAGAGACCCTCCGTAGACAGTCTAGTCAGCAAGTTTGCACCACCAACAGAATCAGGGTCTCCCATCAAGGAGACCCCACTCCCTCCTGCAGCACCCCCCAAACCTGGAAAACTACATCTTTCTGGAGTTAGCCTTCCCAGTGTTCTCCAACAAGGGTGTGTGTCGTCAAAACCCTCTGTTCTGAGTGGGCGTGCAAAGGACTCTGTAGTGGAATTTCCTTCTCCTCCATCTGATTCTGATTTTCCACCCCCTCCACCTGAAATTGAGCTTCCTCCGCCCCCCATCGAGATTCCAGCAGTATTCTCTGGAAACACCTCTCCAAAAGTGGCAGTTGTTAATCCTCAACCACAGCCATGGTCTAAAGCATCAGTGAAGAAGGCCCCTCCACCTACACGACCCAAAAGGAACGACAGCACCCGCCTCACTCAAGCAGAGATCTCTGAGCAGCCAACAATGGCCACAGTTGTGCCACAAGTGCCCACCTCTCCCAAATCCAGCCTTAGCGTCCAGCCTGGATTCCTGGCCGACCTCAACAGGACACTGCAACGGAAATCCATTACTCGGCATGGCTCGCTGTCGTCCTCTCGCATGTCCAGAGCAGAACCCACAGCCACCATGGATGATATGGCATTGCCCCCACCACCCCCCGAACTGCTCTCTGATCAACAGAAGGCCAGTTATGGAGGCAGTCATATCTCGGGCTATGCAACATTGCGCAGAGGTCCCCCTCCAGCGCCCCCCAAAAGAGACCAGAACACTAAGCTCTCGAGAGACTGGTAGCCACCACAGGACTTTATATATTTCATGCTATCTGTAATCAGTTCTACAATCAGCTCACCTGATCCTCTGTGAATTCAGGTGCTCAGAGCCTCCTGGTATGATGATGATGTTATTCAGGTAGTGTTCAGCTGTATGTGTGTGTACGTGTGCATGTACACACATAGCTATACAGAAGTGTGTGTATATATATGTATGTGTATGTGTATAGAAAGAGAAAACCAAGAATGGTTCTATTTATTCCTTTCCTCTCCCACTCTGAAATGAAGTTCATGCATTTTGGATGGAAGAGGCATGGAAGGAGATAGTGTTCTGTCTCATATAATTTCTTTTTGTCTATCATGTAGATTGGACCAAAACTTCTAATTGCTTATTTAGAAGGTATTTTATAAGTGTCTGTCCATGTGCAACCTATTTGTGCATGTTGTGTATTATATAATTAAGGAATAGATGTATAATGTGCTCTTTCTCAGTTTGAGAAAACAACCAGAATGTGTGATATTATCTACAGGGCTTTTGCGTTTGTTTTTTCCCCAGTTGAAGTTACAGCTGCTTGACTGACATTTCACTATTACACATTAAGGGGCACTTTAAATCAGGAAAATCTTTTAGCTTCATAGAACAGGTAAATAGTTCATCAGGGGGAAATTTTCACAGATATTGTCTATGTGGTTGTGCATAGAAAGTAAATCCATGGCGTAACCAAATCATTCTAGTTGTAGTACTCCTGCAGTAATTCCACTCAACATCTAGGACGTGTTCTCTCACAGGTAAGCTCTTTGCCTACAATACATGGATACTTTTTAATGCTACAGTGCTGGGTAGTTTTGAGTATTTTTCTGAAGCTTTGTCAACTTGACTTCATGATCCTTGCTTTGATTTATTGTGAAAATGTCTAGCACAATCTCTCTGTAATGCACTTTCCCAGTATGTCTTTGGATCACCAGTTAACCTTTTTAAGTGTGTGCTTTATAGGTAGATGTCAATATCTGTAGCCAAGTGGTATATGAAATATACACATCCTGTGCTCGATATGGTGCATCATTACAAAAAAACAAAATCACTTCTGAAACACCCATCTTTTTAATGTATTGCTTTCTAGGTGAGGTGAGAAAAGAGAACAAAACTGGGCCCTCTATAAGTGTTATATATGGGTTACAATATATAATACAAAAGAGAATCCTTTAGATATGGAACTGTTGTGGAGGGAAAGAAAATAAATGAGGTTTTTGATAAGTGACATCCATAGCTGGTCCTGGTTGTAGAGACTGTTCAGGTTACCAGGTGTTCTGATGAAGTAGTACAGTGACATTACATATCATGTATGTGCAGTTCGGTATAACATGGAATCATTGCTCTGGGGATGATACACTATACTTCTGTATGCTTCACCCTATCCTTCTATATACTTTCTGTACATTTTTCCTTGGTACATGAGAGAAATATGTACTGTCTCATCAGTTTTTGATCATAAAATGCAATCTTAGAGCTGCTTTTAAACAGAATAGAAACTGGCCAGCCCAGCAATTATAAATGAATACATCTTGTAATGAAAGTCTATGCCTGTTGGAAGGATTACCAGTGAAAACTACAGAAATCTTTTGACAGTGCCCCACAAGGAGAAAGTGATGCTGGGGAATTGAGGCAAAGTGAAACTAAAGTTACACTGTATGTGAAGGTATCACTGTAACCCTCCAAGAAAGAACTGCGTCATAATTGAGTAGCTGGCACCTCTCCATTGCCACATCTCTGGGATATTGTTCAGTATATTCACGTGGTTATGGAGCAATAAGAATACATACCATTGTGCATTTCTTAAAAGTCTTTCTTCTTTAAAATATATTTTTTGATCTTTCAAATTATTCAGAAGTTTTGTGTGCTTGACATACTTATGAAGTGACCTTCATCTGCACTGTTAATGTAAGCACGCACAATTTGGGTTACTTTTGAGTACTGATTGCCAAGCTCCACTGTGACTCCAGCGAAGTAATTTCCCAGTCTTCTACTGCTGCTTTATATTCTAAGGATCACCCACAATTTGTAGGGTAATGGAGCTATTAAGACTATGAATCCAGTTGTCTAAGTATTCATCCTGAGGGTTTTGTTTTTGTGGGTTTTTGTTTTTAAGGAAGGTAGATGGACAACTTCAACTTTCTTTGAGGGGAAAATAATGTACCTCCAATCTTCTTTCACCCATGATTTGAGCCCTAAAACAGTCTTTGTTTATTCATTGTGTAATTTCTTATTTCCATCCTATAACAGCCATCCTAAACCACTGCTGTTGGTCTGTTTTCTTTGAAGAGCAGACATCATTGAGCACTGGTGATGGCAAGAAGAGATCAGGGCCAGAGCATCTCTATCCCTAGTCCACTGGCCAGCCAGCCGACTAACTACAGACTTTTCCTGTGTATTTCTCCCAAGATGGAAGTAGCTACCAATCAAAAACAAAAGAAAAAACCTTTACATGTCATACAACTGAATCAAAAGACCTCTAAGTAACACTTAATTTTTCTAGTATTTTACTCCCTAGTTGAGTTTTCTTTAACTTGGTTTTTGTTAGGATGATGTTAGGGACCAAGGGAGGTTCAGGTTTTATTCCCCTGAGACTACTCTATTTTTGAAGCTCTTCTCTCTGGTGTGTTCATGTAAAACACCTACTGCCAGATGACGCTAGGACTGTGCCTTTTTCCACTGCCTTCTGCTCTGCAGCTCCAGCCCTACATGGCTTTCTTCAGGCCAATGAAGGCCATGGATGGCTGACTTGCCTGTATTAAGAGCCAGTGCAGGCAAGCTCTACCTGCTCCTGGGGTAGGTGCAAACAGGTGCCTATTAGAGCCAGTGATTTCCTTAATTGAGACATCCTTAACTTTTGCTATAGACAGTTTCAGAATTGGATCACTCTATGTTTAAAAGTTTTGGCACCAACTCTGAAGGACAATAGAACCTTGCTCATTTAATTAACAACTTACTTCAGGTTCATAGGTTAGAATATAAACATAACAGACTATTCTGTATTGAATTTTATCAGCTTGGCTTTTACTACTCAAAAACCTAGATTTATATATTCCCCCCCTTAACTGCTGTAATTCTCCTATAGATAAGTGGGTATCTAGAAACAATAAACTTAACTGCAAACCAGACTTTTAAAATTTGAGACTTTTTAAAATAAGATATCTAAATCTTAAGCTATAGAAATGAATATTTTCATCAGAAAATTTCAAGCAAATATTGTAAACATGATGGTGTTTTACAGTCCTCTAAAATCAAGGTGCTCCTGCCCATGAACAGCCTATCTTGCAAAGGGCTGTGCAGTATCTTGGGTCCCTTGTCTGTACATGTTTACCATGAAAAACAATGCTAAGTTCATCAAGAAAGTCAAAATTGAGAGGTTTAATTCCAGTAAGGTGACAGTTCTGAGATCAAGATTAATAGAAACTGTATATCCATTTGAAGTTTCAAAAGCTGCTATTCTAGAAGACTGCTGCTAATAGCTGTGTCAAGGATATAAGGTTATAAATTAGCTTGTAAAATGTTTGAGGTTATGGTGTGGATTGGTTTGATTTTGGTTATCCATCCCACAGAACCCTTTGTTACCTCTGCTCCTCAACCCAGAACAAGTTTTATGTTACAAAACACAAGGTAATTTTTAAACAAGAAACCTATTCCTGTTTTTGTATATTACCAAATGTTTTCATGTGCTCTCAGAACTAACATTTTAACTAATGTAACCTGCAGATTTTATTTAAATTTAGACCAATTGAATCTGTATACCTGTGATTATAGGTGTGATGACTCACTCTCAGTAAAATGGCTGTATATCTCATGAGAAAATTTCTTTTAAAAAAAGTCCCTGTAGATTGCAAATACAGCTTTACACCATTTTATAAAGCATGGTATCCCTAACCTGATAGGAATGTGACCTCACAAAGTTGACATTTGATCCAAAGAGAAATAAATGCAAGAAGAACAGAATTAAATATTCAACTAATTAAATATTCAACTATCTTGTTGCTTTTAAGCCCCAAAAGAACATTTCTACACCTTTACCATTCTAAAGCTAAAAAATAAAAAAGTGCTCAGTTGTTATGGTCCTTAAAAGATCTATATGTTGGGCTGGGGATGTGGCTCAAGCGGTAGCGCGCTCATCTGGCATGCGTGCGGCCCAGGTTCGATCCTCAGAACCACATACAAAAAAACAAAGATGTTGTGTCCGCCAAAAACTAAAAAATAAATATTAAAAAATTCTCTCTCTCTCTCTTAAAAAAAAAAACATAAATTCTTTTAAAAAAAAAAATCTATATGTAAAAGAAATCTGAAATACAGCAGAAGAATAAACTTGTTCAATTAAAAATAAGCAAAATACCTGATAAATACTTGAACAGGAAAAATGATGGGTTTGATCTTTCCTTGTTTGAATAAATCATTCAGAAAACTATTTACTGTAATTGATCCCCAGTGCCTTGAACTCTTTGGGAGGAATAGCATTTAAAACAAAAACCCAGGAAGCAAGCTTTGAGGTGCTAATGAAAGCCAAGGAAGGTAACCCTAGATTTGGCAAAAATGGAAAAAAGTGAGTTTCACAAGAGATGGCTTTATCTATCTACCTAAACGGGGAATGGCTGCTTTCTACCAAAGAAGTTTGAAGAAATGAATTGAGTTAGGATGATGATGAACACTACATAATTAAAGATGGCCAAGTTCAGAAGCATATTGGTCACGGGTGGCTATTAACACCAAGCGCACATGATTGTTAGGGCCTCAGCCTCCTCTTAGGCAGTAAAACATGTCTGCAGTACTTGTGGGAGGGCTCTATGTTTTGGAAACTATCCATTGCTTGTTAAATTTATTATAACCTAATGCCAAAAACTGCTTTTTTTTTTTTTCATGATTCCCCATCTCCTTTTTTTTATTTGTAAATAATCCCTCCTAGAAAATAAGCATCAACTGGAATGTTTCAAATGATTCTGCTTAATTTTGTTATCAGCCACTAGTGAGTAATTCTT